ATTTTCTCATACTGAAAATAAAACTGAAAACAATTTTATACACTGTAAATTCAAGTGTATTATTTCAGCTCTTCTTACACATTTCTTGCCGTTTTAAATCACATCATTTAACATGATTGAACGTATTAATTTTTAATTTTATACAATTAAACATGTTAAATGACGTTATTTAACACGGAAGTGACATGTAAAAAGAGCTTCAGTCAAATGTGACATTTTTAGATACGTTTACGCGTGTAAAAATAATACACTTGGATTTGCAGTGTAAACATATGCTGTTTCGCAAATTGGCCAAAATATTTTGCTAAAGCCTCAAGCTTCAGAGCACGCAGTGGTATTTGTTCGAGCGGATAAAAGTGACTGTTCGAGCGCATTACATTACCGAAATCCGACTGTGTGATATCTTATGCTCACCTGTAAGATCTCCATTTTCTGAAACAGAATACATCAGGGCCTTTACTTTCTTTCGCATATGACATATATTATTAACTTAGAATTATTTTCTTCACAAGCGTAATCAATGTCATTTATATGTATAATTTATCAATTATATCTACTATTATCTGCTGGAAATTTGCGTTTAATGTAATAAGCTTCTTCTACATATTGTGGACATGGAACACACAGTACACACATAAACTTCAAGGTAAAGGTATGACACAAATGATAAAAAAAGATGCAAACAAGAATAACGGTGGGTACAATAATAAACAATAGGGCACAAATGACAAGTAATTATTCTCACGGTGTGATGTGTTCTGATCACAGTGTACTGTTTTCGGAAAAAATTGCATTTAATCCTCCTCTTAAAAAATTAAAAAGAAATAGATTGTATCTCGTACCTTCCCAACCCCTGGTTTGTCGATACCATTCGGTTTCAAATCGGGCTTATCCTTGAAAATAACAAGAAAAAAAATGATTTATCCTACGAAGACATAATTTTCATAACTTATGAAAGAAGAGAAGAAAAGAAGTCGAATCGGCATTAAATAGTTACATGTAATAAATTATAAAAATTTTGTTTTATAAGTAATTAAAAAATAAGATCACTTATTTTATTAGGAAAAACAATATATTACATTAATACATGAATACATTGTTGTTAAGTTATTATCAAATAAGTATAAAAATTTAAATTGACGAAAGATGAATCTATGTATTAGTGTTGGTATATGTTTGTGTATGTGTGTGTACCTCGACGCGAGAAACAATTTCAGAGTCCGATTCCTCGAGAATGGCCTCCGTGCTGATAATGCTGGACTCAATTACACTCACCACTTCCTCCTCTTCCTCCACTTCCTCCTCATATTCCTCCGATCTCCCGCCATCATCGTCGCTCCACGTTGAACTTATTACCTTATGTATCGAGATATAATTTTTCAACGATATGCCAATTGTCGCGTCGAGGAATCGAAAGATCGATCATTTTTTGCGAATTACATAGTAGATGCTCTATGAATTATGTGATTCATTTCGTATTAATTTAATTGTACATCGATAATCAATTGCAAATAAATAATTATCTAAAATTAAAATTCATTTTTCTTTTTTCTTCTAATATTGCTCTCTTTTTATACAACAATCATTATTTTTAGATAATTACAAATATAAAGGAGCACACTGTGTAATAAATTCTGCAAAACGATTAATCTTTCTGTATCTGTATTAAGTTGTATGTGGCTAGTGTAAGAGTAATTTGTTAATCACAAAAAGGTGTAACGGAAGGAATAGGGAAACAACAGAAAACGATTAAAAATTAAATAAAATTTTGATTAATCCTCTCATGTCGGCGGCTACCTTCTTTTCCTCTTTCTTCTCCTCCTTCTTTTCTTCGGCCTTTTTCTCCACCTTCTTCTCTTCCTTCTTTTCCTCTTCTTTCTTCTCCTCTTTCTTCTCGACCTTCTTCTTCTTCTTCTCTTCCTCCTCCTCGTCCTTCTTCTTCTCCTCTTTCTTCTGCAATTTAATGAGGGGATTGCATGCAACAGTGGGGAACATATTACACTTACGAATGATCTTCGAATTTATCAAGAAGACGATGATTTAATCACATTAGATATTCATACTTGAGCAACATGCTAATTTTTTAACGGGGTACTTGGATCAATTATTATTAGAGATACAATACGTTTTAAGTTTACGTGAAATTCACAAAAAAGGGGAAACAATTACAATTTAAATTCAACATGTTAATTTTTCACTGAAGTGTGAATTCTTTTTGCAATATATTGGAATATAAATTTAAACAAAGACAGAAAAAGTGACCAAGAAAAGAAACTTACATCCACGTATAGATCGTAATCCGTGATCATATTAAATAAAATTGCCTACCTTGACGACGAGACGAGCCGACGATTCGTCTTGACCGTATTCGTTGCTCACGACGACTTTATATGATCCCGTAAATTCTGTCGATGCAGAGGTAATGGTCAATTTCATATCCAGACCGTTGAAGGAGATCATGATGTCCTTTGACGCTTTGACGACCGTTGAATCTCTGTAATCATATTGCAACTATTATTGAAACAATCTGTAGAACAATCTAAGGAAATTCTCGTAATATAAGAAAAAGCAAAAAATACGATTGCTAGCTGAGACAAATTGTTTTAGATAATATTGATAATTTCCATTCTTATATTGTTATGGTATACAATTTCTAAGTTAAATAAAATACTATATTTTTGTATCAAGAAATTTGCAAATTATTTTTAAAATGCAATTTTTATATTAATTACGTACCTAGTCCATGTGACAGTGACCTTTCGGTCTTGCGTTGCAAGAGTGGCGACGAGCTCGACCGTCTTGCCTTCCTCGACAGTCTGGAAATAGAAATCAGCACACGACAATGAATTAATGAAAGAAACTTTGTTTTAACAATATTATCTTTTTATCAAAATAAATGTAAAATCAAAAAGCGCTGCATTTACCAATAAACATACTTACAATTGATTTGAGGCCGGTAACAATTTTTGGTTTTTCTCCTTGGTCTGGAATTTCCGTCACTTCCACTACTTGCGACGTGGCTTCGCCCTTTTCGTTGCGCGCCACCAATTTGTACGTACCCTTGTCTGTCGCCGACATTTGTTCGATTTCGAGTTTCACGGCAAATTCACCCTATTCGAAGAAATCAGCTGATCAAAATTCATATAATATTTTTTTTTTAATAATAATTACATCGTGTATACTGAATATTATTTAAATGCTACTTTTTAGTTGTACGCGATATGTCGCAGTGACAATAAACGTAAAAGAAAATAATTCCGTTCTGGTTATTCTGTTAAATTTTAAATTCTAAATATATTTCTATTTAATATTGATTTACTTTAATACAAAATAATGTTTTATTATATGGAACTCACTTCTTTGACTTGCTCGACATGCAACTTGTGTCTAGTATCCTCTTTAACGGCCTGAGTTTCCTTAAACCACGTACACTCAGGTGCGAATTGAGAAAGAACGTGACATTCAATCACGACCGTCTTCTTCTTGACAATCTTTACTACCTTTGGCTTCTCTTTAATTACGGGTATAACTAAAATCGCAATCGAAAAATTGATTAATATTCTAATCTATCTTCAAATTTTTCTGTTACGGTCTGTGCTTTACGTAGTTTTTAAAGAACTTATTGTTGAAATGTAACATTTTCATTTATTATATTCCAATAAATATAACGGGAAATTGGGATCAGTATAAGTATTTATTAATTAACTCATAATATCTTTCCAACATTTATGAACACATCCTCAGAAAAACTAAACATATTTGAAATTAAAAGTTGAATAATTAAATCTAAATCAATTATTTTTAATTATAAAAAACTAATTGTGTTATTATCGCTTTGAATAATGTTTAATATAAGAAATGTGAACTTACTTTCGACGTTTAACGTAAGATTGGCATTGAGTTCGCCAAGGTCGTTCTTAATGTTGCACTTGTAAAGGCCGGAATCGTCTGGTCCAGGATCGTTCAGAGACAATTTGATATAATAAACATCGTCCTTCTCTTCAACGATGCTGAGGGAAATCTTCGAGGACTCCTTCACCACTTGGCCGGCGCGGGTCCATACAATCTGCGGCTTCGGCTTCGCCTTCACCTTGCAGTCCATGACGACAAGCTTGCCCTTATTATGCGACCGTATCCGTGGTTTCTCCACAAACGTCGGCCCGTCTCCCTCCGGTTCCGGTTCCGCCTCGATATTCAAATTCAAATTGGCGTTGCTCTCGCCATGCTCGTTCTTCACGTGACATCTGTAAGTGCCGCCGTCTGGTCCCGATGGATCCTGTTGTCAGGAAAAAAATAGAAAGATTTAATTAAAATTCGGAAATTAGTAAAATCAAGAGACACGGTAGTGTCTCGCGTCAAGTACACGCGAAACGAGACGCACCGTGACTCTTTTACGCGACGCGATGACTTGCAAGTACCCGAGATGTTGAGATCTTAATAATGAGTGAACGAAGTTCTAAGTAGGCTTGATCGATATAATCTACGGCACTGATAATTCGGAAGAAAAAAATTTTAAGCCAAAAATCTGTATGAAAGGAAGTCAGAATTAGATGTTTGAGAACTTGAAGAACAGAGATTTACTTCCATACTGTAATAATTAAATAAAATCAATTTAAATTATTTTCGCTTTTAACCAACTTTTTAGAGAATTACTTTTATCTCCATGATAAGTTCATATATGTCCTCCTCGACCGTCTTAGTCTTGATCGAGATCTTTGACGACTCCTTGACCACGCTGGTGCCGCGGAACCACGTGACCTCCGGCTTGGGATTTGCCTTGCACTTGCACTTCATGGTGATCAGCGTGCCGGTCTCATTCGGGAGGATGCGAGGTTTCTCGATGAAGGACGGAGCGCAACCCGCGCCCTCCTCTGCATCTTGGAAAGATCCACGGTTAGACATCGTCGGTGAAGATACGGGCGCCGTTTCCGGGATACACCGGAAACGCGATCTTCGCCGCGGTCGCGGGTCATCGGTCGACCCGCGACCGCGACTCCCCGCTGACGTTAGTCATGTTGTTGGCAGCTCAATGAGTTATGAAGCGAATTAAGATACAGAGACTTCACGATTGGTTAGCAATAGCGCGACTGTGCTTACCTGATGAACCGACCTATCGCCAATCATCGTAATCGAGAAAAATCGGCTCGTACACCTTTACCGCGCGTTCATAGAATGCATTATATACGTACGACGGAAACATGGGAAAAGTCGAGGACTCGTCATGGACGAAGTCGACGAGAGGGATCTCATTGTCCGAGCAGTTTGCAGCTTTAAGATCAATTTTTGACAAAAAATAAAATTAATATTATATAAAATAAAATAATATATTTAACGTTGCTGCTTCTATATTTTTAAAACTTGTTGGATTGTAACTGATCGCGATTGAAGAACTGCTAATTCTTTTTGGAATAACTTTTCAAGTTTGATAAATATCTCGGAGTGCCAATGAGAGCCCCCTCTCGTACGCTTCGAGGGGGACTTGCCTTGGAAATTGAGGGAGATGTTGGCGTTACTCTCGCCGAAGTTGTTAAAGGCGTTGCAACGGTAATTCCCACCGTCACCCTTGGTCGGATTCGTGATCTCGAGGGTCAGCAGATACGTGTCCTTGCCGGTGGCCTTGCGCGACATCTTCACGCGTTTACTGTCGGCAATCGTTTTCTGACCCTGGTACCACGTTATGTCCGGCACCGGATGTGCCTCCAGGATGCATTCCATGATGAGTAAGTCGCCCTCCTGGCGGATCGTCGGCTTCTTCGGGAAGCGCGGCGGCTTACCGTCCGGTATTCTGCGTAAATCGACACGTCAGACGAGAAATTCGTCGATTCGTTTTCTGATCGATCGAATCTAATGCCATCTCGCACGATGACGTTGTCTCTCATCTGCCGGCCACGCCACGCGATGTTCCCGAAAACGCGACGCGATAAAAGTCGCAGGCTCTCTTTTAGTCTCGAATTTCCAAATCAATTTGTCCAAATTTTTTAATCCCAAACAGTAGTTTACGTTTTTATTTCAAAGAGAACGTGCGACTTTTGTACATGCAGGCATTCGTAAATTGTTGTAAAAAAACTGCGAGCATTTCTAAGAAAGAAAGATTTTGGCTTGAATATAATAATCTGAAAAATATTGAAGAATTGGAAGAAGCGTGAACGGAATGTGCGAATACCTGCATTCATAATCTGATCGACTAACTTTTAACTTCTCTTATTTTACAATACATTTGTCGTTATTTAGTTTATAATAGAGAAATAGAGCCGATTTTACGATTTACGATATATGTAACGTCCGTAATAATTGACTGTAATAAATGTAAAGAATTCTAATTCGACCATTATTACAACTACTATTGTAATTATTATTTTTGCATTGCAAATCATTGAAAGCTACACTAAATTATCGCTGCGCTTCCGCAGCGCGCCGCGTCGAGCCGAAGAAGAACGCGAAAAAGTGTCGAATCGTGGCGCGGCAGAATATAACGCCGAGAACAGATCAGAACAGATCGTCTCTCGATGCCTACTTGAGCCTGTCGCCACCCTCGAAGTTCAAATTAATGGTCGCCACCCCCTGGCCGTGCTTGTTCTTCGCCACGGCCCTATACTCCCCCGCATCCCCCTTCGCCACGCTGTCGATCCTCAGCCTCGCGAGGTGGTACAGCTTCTGATCGAGTTCCAGCGATGTGTTGAACCGCCCGCCGTCTTTCACTTCCTCGGTACCGTGATACCTGCGATCGCCGTCAACGTGCCAAGTCGAAACAACCACCGTATATTGATTTGCGTCGCGGGTCACGCGCTCGGAAGTGCACATCGTGTTTATAAACTTTGAACCATTGAATTAAGATACATCGAGATGCATTATCGAAATCGTACGTAAGTTCGAAAATATCTGTCTCAAATATCGTTCTTTTTGTAATTACACCCTTAGTGAAAAAATGTCTCAAAATTTTTCATATTATAAGTCAAAATTTTTATAAAAATTTTCAGAATGCTCAGAAGTTTTCAGATTTTTTAATTAGAATGCTTTTCAATAAAACTCAAATCAAAATAAGAATAAAATATTTCAGATTTTTTCTGCCAACATATATTTGTACAAATCTGAATAAATATGTAAAAATCTGTGCAATTTATCAGAAATTTTCATACATACGGATACTTAAAATATCTGAAAATCCTCATCCAATTATTTCTGAAAGTATCTGAGAAATTTTATATATTTTTCAGAATTTTTCATGAGTCTCAATTCTTACAAAATTTTTGAGAAAATATGAGAAATTCTTTACCCAGAACATCAAAAAATGTTAGAAAACAGTTTGGAACAGTATAAGTTCCAATAGAAAATCCGTACGAATAAACCGGGCTAACTAAGAACCAGCGCGGTAAATGATGCGCGAAAGATTTATTTATATTATTATTTTACATGTTTTCCAACCTTTGACTGCGTGCCGACTAGATTTGTCAGACTTGAAACACAGCTCCGGTTGGAGTAGT